TGGGAGCGCGGCCGGGGGAGGTGGGCGGGGCGTGTCGTGGCCTGTCGTGATAATTGCGAGCTGCAACCCGTGTGTTAAAGGTGCTCAGGGTCTCCAAAGAGTGAGTAGCTAAAGCAAGGTTGTAGTCAGTGCAAATGTCAGGTGCCTTATCTTAAAGAAAGGTGAAGCTCCGAAAAAGGATGGGACTATTTGAAGGGCCTGATATTGAGTAATTGCTATATTCAGTTGAGATATGCAGTTAAAAATTAATATCTACTAATTTTATTTTGGTTATAACAGGTGTCACTTACCTGAAGCAAAAATGAAACCTTAAGTTCCCAGATCAGATCATCAGCTACTACTTCAAAAAGGATATTGAGAGAGCATGGGCGGCAAGGGGTTAAAGAGAGATTAAATCAAGGTGTCAGTTTTATGACGGTGAAAAATACATTTTAAATCTTTAATTTTCCCACTGGTGAAATAAATATTGTAGTTCAAAACAGGGGTGGTAGGCTTAACAAAAACGCCTTTGGATGACACAACATATATTATAATAATAATATATACAAAAATAAAAAATACTACTTTTCCTGCTGGAAAAAATATGTTAATAATACAGCATTAGTAATAAAACATATTATTTTTCATTTACTGTTTCGGTGCAGCAGGAGTTTTATTCCCAGTGGCACTGTTGCCTAATGCTGCCAAGTGCTGAGCGTATCCTGTCCTCTGATAAAAAACAAATGATGCCATGGAATAAGGAAGCACACAAACAAAACAGCACACAACGTGGCAGCTCCCTGAACCCCCATCCTCGGTCAGAACTTAGAGGGTAAAGCACAGTTTTAAGAGCATAATGAAAATAAACGGTGGCCCTGGGGTAAGGACTGGAAAAGATCAGGGCTTGGCATTCATAGTGTACATTTAAGATTCTCAACTAATAGAATATTAAGAAACATAATTGTTTTACAGAATTGAATATCCTCAATAAATATTTTAAACTCCATTTTAACAAATCATTACATTGTAATAACACTTAGAATTCATTCAGGTTGTTAACTTAGTAAAAAATCATTTAACTTAGAAGGATAAGTTCTTTAATTTTATCTATGTTCTTGAGAACTGTTGATTTCAAAAAAAGTTAATGAGCTTTAGCTAATGAATTAGTTTTAGTTACTCTGAGGACAAACAGTGGATACAAGAGAAAAATGAGTATTAAACACACAGAACCAATATCTTTATCTTACTGCTTTGGTAAAGAATTTACACACATGTAAAGACTTGTAAATATTGAATGACTGAGAAAATGTTTCAGTTATGTAATTCTGGTTCCTGCTTAGTGGTTGTTCATTTACATATCTATTTCTGCCTAATTTTACCATAAGTATTTCTGTCTAGAAACCCATTCAGTTTCTGGGTAGCGCACGCATTCTGACTTCTGGTTTGTCTCTATCATTGCAATTTTTTGTTAAAAGACAGTTGGTACATACCACATAGTAGTGAAGATTTTATCTGGAACACATGGTTTATCTGGTGGTGGAATTTTTGTTTCATGGAGCCTGATGTTCAGGGATGATAGTTTAAATATTTTTAAAAGGATTCCTATTGTGTCTTTCAGATCCATCTTGCAAATTTATGTTGAAGATTCTGTAAGTAGAATTTCTACTAAAAATAGGAATTTTCTTATTAATCTGAATTATATGGATGCTTTTCAAAATACTGTCTTTTTACTCATATGGTAAGGTTTATGTGCTGCAGTGTCTCATCACTGATATTAATGCAAATTGTTTATAAGAAAATGTGCAAGTAACTTGAAGCTCAAGTAGTTAAGTATTAGAGCATCTACACAGGTAAAAGGTCTAGACCCTGCATTAATATGTGCCTGGTAAAATCTCATTTACTTAAGTAACATTTTTTAAGCTAATCAAACTTAACAAAATTTCACCTGATGACTCTAAAATACACACAGTAGAGAATGAGTAATTGTTGCAATTGATTGAATTTCTTACTCTTTAAAGTGAGGACAGGAAGACCAGTCTGCTTTAGAAGCATATTTAAAGAGAAATTGGTCATATGTTGTAAAAGCATCCTATGTGCAGACCACTAACATATTTAGGTAAAATTGCCTCATTGTGTCCATGGAAGTGGCTTCAGGTTTATTTTTTCATTGCAGCAAAAAATTACAAATTCAACTATGTCATCTAACAGTTTGGTAGATACTGCTTGGGCTTTTTGACATTCATTGTGTTTCCTAGAAATGCAGTATCTTAGGTTGGTTGAAGTTTAGCTTCACGTGCAAAAACAGTTTTAATTTAAAAAAAAAAAGGTACCATGTTCTGCTTACGTTTGTGCATATGAAATCTTCTGACATAGTATGAATGAGAACTGTATGAATTCACAGAGCTGTGTTTTATATATACACTGATCACTGGATTATATGGTCCAGATATAAATGAATCACAGCCATGAAGAAACTATGAAGAAAATCAGTGTGGTGAACCTTGATAAACTTTTAGATAACTTCTCAGAGATAGAAAAGGTAAGTGAAGAAGTTAAAAAATGTTGAAACTGCTATCTGTAAATATTCTGTGACATTTTAATAAGCTTTTCAAGTGAAAATTTCTTCTGAGAGGTATCAGCATATTCTTAGTAATATGCCTTGTAATACCAACTTTGGAAAGTGTATTGACTGTATCTCAGAGCGATATGAATTACTTCTGTGGAGTCTGAGAAGTCTTTGTTTCTGTGCTGGAATTTTAATGGTGCAGATGCCAATTTTGGCTTCTCTGGAAAAGTGGGAAAGTGTCCCTTTATATAGGAAGCTGCTATTGGAGATAACAGTATTACACAGCTTTGCTGGGCTATCCTTTCAGAAATTGTTCCTTGTTCTATAAAAATGCCATTGCCATAGCAGGAGCATCGGTCATTACATTCCATATGCTGTCTTTATTTTATGTATGTCAGTTCTTAAAAGCTCTCTGGTGATTTCCTCCTCATCAGTAAATCCATTCTAGAGATAATAGAAAAGGGGCACCTGAAATAAATTTATTATTTCTCATGGAAAAAACATATTATACTGATTCCTATGCACACCCATTACTCATGCTGGTGATCAGCAAAGGCATTGACAGCGTTATATGCAAAGCAGTAGAAAGAACCTTGCTGAGGATTGATCCAGGCTGTGGAGTACAAAATTGAGAAGAAAACAGGTCATAACTAGTGATATAAGTCGGCATTCCTAGTTCTGCAGGGTAATCTCACCATAGCACAGGCTCTCAACTTTAGCATCACTTTTCTCTGTAACGAAATTGCCAGAATGGTAAATAATACAGGTTTGTGACTACAGTGTTGCAAAGTTGTTAAATTTTATATTAATTTGACACTCAAGATTCAAAACTTAAATCAAAAGATATTACTATAACTATAGTCTTTTTCCAATATTCTAGAAAATATCAGAAATTAATGAAGCAAATAATCTACTGGTTCTTCAGCTGGAAAAATGTAACAGGTTGTTAACATTAAGCCAATCAAAGGAGGAATCAGTAAAAGAAGGTAGGTTATTTTTTAGAAAATGGTATTTTCTGCATATATTCAGGAAGTTCTGAGAAAGATTTCCAGTATTTTCAGTCATAAAAAATACAGAAATAAAATAGCAAGGATCTAAGATACAGTGTGAAAAATTGTAATGCTTGATCTTGAGTCATGTAATGATAATCCATTTCATTTGCATAAACTGGATAATTTTAATCCACAAATGTATCTTGAGAACTGCATTAAAGTAACTATTTTACAGTTCATGTTAATATCCATCTACCTGAAGAGATTTTTGAGTGCATGCAGTAGCTATGAAAGAAAAACTTTCCTTTTGTATTTTTTTTCATTTTTTCGTTTTTATCTTTTTTTTAATTTTTATTATTATGTTATCTCCTTTTCCAAGGAAACAACGTATTGGCAGGGAAAGATAGAGAGGATCAGATGACCTTGGTGCACCTGGTGATGTTACTGTCCCCAAATGTTTACCTTTCCCAGCCATACAGGCCTCTTGAGTTTCTAGTGAACAGCCACAGTTTACAAAGCCAGCATTTTTAAGCAAACTAACATCAGTAGTTTTACTTAAAGTGCTAGCCTGCGGCTTACGTTAATCCGTAAGCAGCTCAGATGTCTGTGTAGCACAACAGGATCAACATTTGGGAAGACTAAGGCCAGCACTGACACTATCATGACCCCAGCTGAGCTGCTCCTTTGGTATGAATGTGGCAAATGTTATGTTTCACCTGGTCACCAGAAACGTTTTGCCCAATGAGGAATGTGCCAGACACATTCTCAAACATGTACTTTGCTGCCTTCTGAAATGTCAAAGCTCGCCTGTAATTGGGGGTGGCATGTCAGACTGGTGGGGCTGGTGCTTTGAGATAACACAAAGAATTGTATTTCTTAGTTGCTTGTGTGATTTTGTTTGTTTAAGGACAATCTGGTAGCCCATTTGGGGTTTGGAATATATTTTTTCCTGCACCTTGCTGGTATAATGAACCTTTAGTATTTCTCTTTGAATTTTGTTCACTTAAATTAGTTCTTTAAGGACCTTGGTTATTGATGGAATCTTGGTGTCTTGTTCTGCCTTGGCATTTTTTTAACTTCTAGAGGACTGAAAAGCTGTCCAAAGTGATTATACTTTCTATCTGTGTGAGATTTAATCTCTGAAGAGGTCAGATTAAACAATGTGACAGTCCATTTTATGTTTATAATGCCACTGTCAAGATTTTATCTCCATGACATTTCCAACTCAGTTATAAAGTGTAAGGAATAGCTTATAACCCTTCAAGGTTGAGTTCAATTAAGCTGATACCACTGTTGTAAGTTTATTCCATAGCCTGTACTTGTGTTACTGTCAGCATTAATGTGATCAGTTTGGGTCATTTTTCTTTTACTTTGTACAGCAGATATCATTATGGTGCTAAATAGTTATAAATGGTAATAATAGTTCATATTAATATTAAGAGGACTCAAACTTCAGTGGAAGCTAAATAATGAAATGACATTTACTGTTTTACAGGTGGGAATTATAAGCCTCTACATCACAATAAAAAAGTTGGCAAATAAAGGAGGAATTAAAGATAAAAACTATTATTTTTTTTTATTCCAGAAATGTATCTTTTCAGATGTGTATTTCAGAAGAGAAATATCTACTACTTTGCATAGATTTGTGGTTGCTTATTCTTCTGCAGTTTGTAGAGTTGCTAAAAGGTGCATCTTTTTGTAGGACTTTGGTCTTTGACAAGTCATTTTCCTAAAAGTTAGGAAACAGGGTAGGAATAAACTTAGGTTCACGCTGGAGTGAGATTGCCAGGTGGTTTCACTTAGATTTTTTCTGGGACTTAAATAATTTAGCATAATCAGAAAGGAACTGGAAAAACTGTTGAGTGACTAAGTGAAGTTTGCTAATGATGCTAATCTATTCAGTTATGCCAAGAATCTGATGATACAGAATGGCAAGTGATAAAAAGAGGGGATGAAAACCAGTAGCAGTGTATATGGGAGGCATTTTATATAAGCAGGGGTTGGCCCTAGTTGACTACTTATCAGGAAAGAGATTTTGGTGTCCTTCTGGACAGTTCTGTGAAAATATTGGTAGTCAAAGAAGCAAACACAGTGTTAGGCACGATTATGGAAGAAATAGAGAAACAAACATCATGCCCTGTGAAGTCTATGATTTTCATGTAATGTTCTGGTCCCCACATTTCAAAATGGACGTACCAGAACTAGAAGAGATAGAAGAGAAGGTAGCAAGGTTTGGTATTGTCAGGGAGGAGCAAGAGACAGGGCATTGGGAACCAATCATGTAACAAGGCCCACAGAGGTAGGAGCTTTACCAGCCAAGACTCAGTCCCACCATACCCATGTAAGGTTGGCCAAGTGAGGGCTGCGAGGGTCAGCCAAAAGTCCACACTACAAAACAATTATGTAGTGATGGAACAGGTCCAAGGTCAAGACAGGAGGCTGAGTCAGGATCAGGTTCAGAAATGGTGATAAGGGCCAGACATGATCTAGTGATCACTGGCAGGTCCCTAGTGATGAGGCAGGTCTGAAATCAAGCCAGGAAGTTACTCCCTAGTTCATGACCAGGGTCTAGATCTGCATGGTATCTGGCTGCAGCACAGCTGCAGCGTAGCTAAAGGTGGGCCAAGGGCAAAAGCATCAGCTTAAAAGCAGCTCCCAAGGGAAGGAAGGGCAGCCATTTCTGAGTCTTCTTCTGGCTTTCTTCAAATGGATCAAGAGGCTTCATTACTCACAAAAACAGAGCTGGGGGTTAATACTGAATTAGATTTTAAGAAGGGAAAGGAAAAGGTGGACAAAAAGAATAAATTAGTCTTACCATAGAACCTATGTGATAAAAGCAGAGAAAGTGAAAGAGACAACTGAGGAAATGAGAGCAACTGGGATGGCTGCAACAAGGACTATGGACACAGAATGGACTGAAAACAGATGAAAGTTACAGGAGAGATTTGAGATTTGTAAATAGTAGTACTTCACTTCGATGAGATAAGAGTGAAATAATTGGGGGAGATAGTTATGCTGATATAAGTGAGGAGAACGACCTCTGGAGCTGTTTTGAAACACATGATGGTAAAAAAATGTGGATGGCAGAAGTCCAAGTAGAAATACCAGAGCAATCAGCATGAAATATGAACTAAAGGTTTAGCAGCATGGATAGTCAGGAAAAAACAAATCTCAATAATATTGAAGTCATAGTAGTTGTACAAATTATTACAGATATAGACAGGAGGCAGAATTGTTGGAAGCCAACAAGAGAGATTGCAGAGCTGTTAGTAGCTGTAACAAAAAAAGTGAAAAGCAGGAACTTGGAACAACATGGGACATCCAAGATGTGGTTCTGAAAGCTACTTGATGATAAGGAAGTGAAAGGTAAATGAGAGATGCCAAAAGGATAGTGTGTATTTAGAAATTAATGCAGTTGTCATGGCTGTTCTGTTAGGTTGACTTGCTTACCAATAAGGTAAACACCTCAGGTATCATGGCATGAAGTGCTTATAAGTTTATATTTTTTAACTGTATTCATTAATGGTGATCAGAAAGCAGAGTTTCACAAAACATCTTGGGCAGCAAATTGCCATAACCTGCGGCAGATGCTGTCAGAGGAGCGTTGGTAAACAGTTACCATGTTACTAGAGATCAGCAGTGACTATAATGTTAAAAGTATTTTAAAAGGACATTATGGGTAGTGTAGTGATTATAAATTATAGTAAGTATATAATGTTTCTAAAGCGTTTTGTTTTTTCTTTTTGAAAGGGATAGAAATAGTCTTTGCACCTTTGTCAGATTCATCTGCAACACTGACCCTTCAGAAGGGGTAATAGCATACTATGTATTCAGAATCAGAACACTAAAAGTGTTGCGTCTAGTTCTATTCTTTGTAAAAACTTTTGGGAAGTCAAAGCACTGTGGGATTTAAAAAAACTACTCTTTATTATTGATGGGGTTATAGAGGGGTCCTATGCAGAAGTGGAGCAGGTGCAAGGGACGAAATGTAGCATTGATACTTCCATCCTTTCTCTGGCAACAGTTACCTTAACAGACTCTAGTTGTGAGAATGGCTTTTATACAGTGATACTGCCAACTGTAGCTTGGAAACAAAGATTTCTCCTAGCCTTATGTCCCAAGCTGTTTCCCAGAACCCAGCTCAGCCACATTCCTGAAACCATTGTTTGATGAGTTGATCCTAAGGCAACTCAAATTACGGGGTTTGGACTGCTGCATCAATTTCTTGATGAACAGTGTCAACACACAATCTTAATGTATGTACGTTCTCAAGTTCAAGAGCATTCTCAAGTCCATCCTATTACAAATTTAACATATAATAATGAATTTACAGGATAGGTAAACAACTCAGCCTCAGAATGTAAAGCTTAGCGGTAGACCACAGAGCAGTTCACAGAACAGCTAAGGAAAAAACATGAGAGATCACATGCTGATGAATGGTTCACATACAATTCCAAATAAACATGCTGCTTACAGCAGAGAAGCAGGGAGAAAAGGCACTCTGGAAGGAAGGGCTGTTGTTCTGCCTTCCTTGAAGGGTTTGTGGCTACTAGTGGTGGTGGGGTGGGGGAAGTGGAATTTTATCCTGGCTGAAGAACTCTTTGTTAGTATAAGAAACAGAAATAGCAATAGCATTTGGCGGCCCAAGAAATCTCCAACAAATCTAAGTGAGAACCTGAGGGCTCCTTGGTATCCTTGATTGCCAGAAGCCTCTCTCTAGAACTGTTTAATGTAAAAGAAGACTGGGAATTCTGAAGGAAATGCAAAGGAAGAAAGAAAACTTCTAATACTCGAAAGAGGAGAGTGAAACACTTGAAACAAAGATAAGGTGGGAAAAGATGAGCAACTGGGCAAGTGTATACATGTTCTGAAAGGTCAGAAATGAGCTTTGTTTTGCCTTGGTAAGTTCTTTGCTAAATAAAGGTGAGATTCAGGACCACAGTTTTTGTTTAGTGCAAGTCATTGCAGATCCACTCAAGACAGACGCAAGTCTGGCATTCTTTTTTTTCTGCTCCTAAACCTTTTCTGTGGTGACTAAATGGATTCTTGTGGTGCAGGCTACAATTCTGAACTAAAATCTACTGTAGTTTTTAAAAAGAAAGCAATCACATTATTGTCTATGGAACACTTAAAGTGGCTCTATTTAGCATCTTTAGGATTGCATAGTTGTTGAATTAGTGTTTCAAAGGTGTAAAAGGAAAAAAGCGGTTAATGTAATTGCCTTATAAAAAAAATCTAATAGCTTCAATTATAAATGCAGATGGAAGAAACTGCAATAAAATACAGATATTGAACATGGGAAAAGAGCACTTTGGCAGTTCAGTCTTTAAAGCAAATGCTATACCAGTGATCCACAAAGTTACAACCATTTAGCAAAATTTTGCTTTTTCTTCCTTAAGCTAGGCAAGCAAAACTTGTGGGTTCACATTAATTTTTTCCCATCACAACTGTAATTACACAGGGGACTTGCCAAGATACATCCTTTAAAGATAAGAAAGATAAGCAGGTATTCTTGGGACTGGACAAAAGAGTGGCTTGCACTTAAGTAGCTGTGATTCACTGTAAGACTAGCTGCTGTCCTATCATGTACTCAAATGCATAGATGTCTTTCCAATTTGTCCATGAATTGCAAGTATTGGGGTTTATCTCCATACATTTTCAAATGGGAGAAATTTTGTAGTAGAACTAGTTGGTACACATGGGGATGCTAAAGTAGTGCTTCCGACTTTGAATAGGATTTTCGACAGGTGCTTTTGATCCAGAACACGAATTGAGGGCAGGAAATGTTTCTGTGCTGTTCGTGCTCCCTCTGCTGGTTTTTTGGAAGCATAGAATGGGAGAATACAGCTGGCTAACGTACTCGGCTGCATGAAATGCAGACTTGATGGAAGAATAGAATAAAGGTCAAAAAGACTGAGTGGAAAATTGAATCTCTGAGCCGGGATCTTAATTCATCTTCCCGACTTCATTATTTGTAATATAGTCTTTAATTATATGATCTACAATTTTCAACAGAGCTTTGGTTTTACAAGATGAGTAACTGTTATTTAGTGTACTTTATCCATTGTGGAAATTAAATGCCACTTAAGAAATGCAGTGGTACTCTGGAAATAGAAAGTTTTTAAGAGTAAGCAGCGTCAGCTTTAGTGTCCCCAGTCTTTGACTCTTCTGTAACTTTACTGATAAGGTTACAAGAAACATAAGGGATAAAAATAGTATTTAATGAAAACCAAATGTTATATTAAGGCAGTCCATATGGTGTTCAAATATTAAAAATACAATTAAAAAATTTAAATTATGAAATACAAATATGTAAACTGATAACAAGTTGCATGTATAAACATACACACACACATATTTTGTTTAAAATGAGATAATGGGAATATAGTACTGTATTCTCAATCTCTCCAAGTTTATGTTGAGCCACAAGATGGATGTTAATGTGGACTAAAAAGGGGGTGAGGAACTGCAGTGGATAGTGGATAGTGTTGGTCTTGTTAAAAAGAATCTTGGCAAAAATGCTGTCAGGAAAGGAAGCCTCTGTTCCATTAATTACATCAAATTGCTGGAATGCTGATATGGAAAACTTCCATTATTGCCCAGAAAACAATAACATCCTTGTTTTCTGGCTAGAAAGAAAAATGTAATAAGTTTATGAAATTGTTTGTATCGCTTGATAAAATTGTTTTTAATCTATTGTCAAAATAAAAGCTAAAATTAAGAAGTAACCATGTAATAATAATCTTATTTCTATAGTCATTAAGAAGATTTAGACTAATATTTCATCAAGACGATTATAAAATATTTGAGAAAAGATTGTAAACAAAATACAAAACTAAAATTGTGAAGAAATTATTCAAAAATACTGGATTTTTCATTTCTTTTAGAATGTACTACTCTACAGAATGTGATAAAGGGTCTAACACAAACCATTGAAAACCAATGTAACGTAAAAGGTAAAAGCAAAAAATGTTCTTATATATACTGTATTGTAATTTAGAATAAGCAGGTATTTAATTTTTTTGTTTATATTTACTGTTTTTTTCAGAGAGAAAAAACTGGCAGCCAAACAGAAAGGAAAAAAAAATGTATCTAAAATCAATCTTGTGCAGATTTTGGTGGTCTATATGTTTAATGAATGTCTATTGCTATTATCACACTTAGAATACACATGTAAAAGAAGTTCTGCCTTAATGAAGTTTTTTTAATCAATAGTTAGGTTTTAAATTTATTTCACCATAGCACAGGCAATTTTACAAAAAGGGAGAAAGTATCATTCAACTGTTGGACTGTAGCCTATTAAAGCATTTATACATAGTTTTTATCACTTTTTTAAATCAAAGAGCCTTAATCCTCAGTGTAATGTTACTAAAATTTATTTGTCCATAAATACTTGACAATTACTCATTGCTATTTTAAAATAAAATACATAAATATTTGCTATATCTTTGTACCACAGTTTGGCTGTATACCATGTAGTTAATTTTATACCCATTATGTGTTCAAGGCATATTAGCATAAATATTAATAAACCTCTAAAAACTGGAAGTATATGGCTGCTTTTAATACTCAAAATGACTTTTAATAATCAAAAAACGTTACCTGCTTTTTCTAAATTCTGGTTTTGAGGTACTACTTTCTAGTTTTTGGGAAACAAATACTTAAAAAGTTGCATCTTCCAATTTGAAACAGTCATAGCCATGATAATAATCTTTTATTTTCTGAGCAGAAGATCTAGATTTTCTTGAATGCATCAGTTATCGGAAGGCTAAAGGCAGTTCAAAGTACTAAAACCAGGCAAATATTATGGAAGTGTTCAAGGCCAAGTTGGATGGGGCTTTGAGCAATCTGGTCTAGTGGGAGGTGTCCCTGCCCATGGCAGGGAGGTTGGAACTCGATGATCTTTAAAGTCCCTTCCAACCTAAACCATTCTATGATTAAACTATGAATTTTCTTGTTAAAAAATGGAGACTGAGATTATGCAGTTCTGTAAACAATTATTATCATGCCTACAAAAAACAATGATTATCATGCCTACAAAAAAGTTCAGAGAAGTGAAAAAATGAAAGTAATTTCCTTATTCTGCTTTCGTGGTAATAATACCGTCAAAATGTACTTTTTAATGTGATCATATATTTTTTTTTTATTTACATAGATGAAAATGATAGACTGAAGGGTACCATTCACATCTTGGAAGAGAAATTAAAGACTTGTGAACAGGTGTGTCACAAATGATCATTCTTTAGGTAGAGGAATAATATTTTATCTCTAGCAGTTCATATGTATTCATATTCTTGGGTTTGCTATTATTAGTGCACTTTTCCTAACACTTACCATGTGTAAAAAGAGAAGAGTTGTTCTCATGACAGTATCAATATGAGAATGTGTTAGAGGGACTAAGAGGTTAAAAATACCAAGTGCTGAGAATTCTTGCTCAATCTAAGATGGACTTTTTTTTTAGCTGTGTTTAGCTTTAAATTCAACTTGACATTCTAAAATCTAATCTGTTGCATTAAAATACATTTTTGTGTGGAAATAAGGTTTTGATATTCAAAATGCCTGCTGTACTGCCAGAGAAACAACAACTGTCTGAATTTTGTCTATAGTTTCTTTGGGAGTAAATGCTACAAAAATAATAGGTCTCTACCTCTTATCTGCATCTCATAATAAATTTCGTTTACCATCTCTCTTCTTTTTATCTGTGCCACTCATTTCTGGAAAGGAGGTAACACCAGCAGGGCTAGTCATAAGTTGTATTATTTCTCTGTGCTAAGATTGTAGATCTGTTACCTATATAGGATTAGGTATCTCACTGCTGATTTTCTCTGCCTGTGTCTGTACTAACTATGACTTAAAATTAAATTTTTATACTACTAGAGCTGTTATCTTGACAGTTTGAGAATAAAATAAGTACTGCCTTCTGAAAGATGTGAGAAAACTATGATTCTATAGCTTATATATATGTATGGGCATGGCGGAACTTCCTAGTGTTGTTCTGAAGGCACTTACTTGACTATGTCCATATATACTGTTGCCACCTATCAGTAACTGCTTTTGTGAGTGCCTCTGAGCATTGCTCTGGTGAGTGGCTACCTTCCTTGTCAGAAGGCTCTGACAAGAGCTTTGGAATAAGCACCTCTAAACTGGTGGCTATGGCCAATTCCTTGATAACCTGGGAGTAGTTATTGGAGCAGCCTTACAATAGGCATGCTCAAACTCTTCACTTGAGTATCAGTGCCACCGGTATCACTACTGCTGACAGCACTCATGTTTCTGCTGCTGCCAGTATGAAGTTGTGGAATTCTTGGTATAAGCAATATTAACAAAATTGATACTTTAAGTACAATTTTCGTTATACAACCGTACAGTCAAAAATCTACAAAAGTAAGACTGTAGTCATTAACTAACTGCAGCATTGTATCAGATCCTGGATTGAGGAAAGAATTATTACATCTCTGCTTGCCTGTTCTCCTAATAAGTAAAATTTCTAATTTTATATTAACTGATAGCTGTAATACAATGGAATCTGCTATGTTTTTCACCTGTGGACTTCAGCCAGATTGTGTAAGAAGTAATGGGCATTTTGAATTTACTAGATCAAAGATAAAACAAGTACTGAATTATAGCGTACTGTACATTTTTACATGAAGGTTGTGCTTTGCAGAAGGCTAAGAGCACAGAAACCTCAAGATTTTTATGAAGCTTTTTACATTTGCAGGCATATAAAGATCAGATTGAGAAACTTATGATAGAAATTAAAAACAAAGAGGAAGACCACAAATCAGAAATAACACAGCTGAATTGTGATACAAGAAAAAAAAGTAAGTTCTCCAAAGACTGAATGCTATAGCATTGGGTAAAACATGTTGTTACCTGTAGGAGCTATACTTTGTCTAGAATAAGTACAATTTCCACTTCTTAGTAGAAACATACAAAAGCTAGAAGCGGACAGTATTTGATTGAATTTTATCTTTGCTCAAGAGAGTAGACGGTGGCAATAAGACAGCAGTACAGCAACACAGGATGAGCAGAAATTTCAAAACCGGTAGAACGGACACTGGGAATGAAATTTCAGTGAATGACATTGTTTTCCCATGAAATACAGATATGCTGTTCAAGAAAGTATTAATATTTTGGGAAATCCTGTTATTTTTTCATCTAAACATCTTCTGTAATCATCGTATTTGGTGTCTGTTACTAGTTGAAGTAAAAGAAGTGGAGTATAGAGAACAGAGAGAGAAAAAAGAACTGGAAATATTAGAGCTAACTAGGCAGCTGAAAATTCAAAATGAAGAGAAACAGAATGAAATAATTAAACTGCAGATAGAGGTATGCATTACAAAGCTTAAGTTAAAGATCAGTTGGGCATTGGGTAAACTTAGAAGAAACTGTGTACTGAAAAATGATAATTAGTACTTAACAAAGTAATATGGTCGAATCTAGGAAACAAAAAATTCTTGTCTTTGCAAAGATGAGTGGCATGTGCCCACTTCCATAATGGTATCTGGGTCGCTTCTGCTGAGGAATCGAGTTCTACCTACTGTATAGGGAGACCAAAGTTTGCTGTGCTCTTGTTTTAAATGGAATTACTTTGAAAATTTTGCTAGTTTTTGAGCTATAAAAAAAAATAAACAACGCTTTCTGCTTATTTTTTTTTCTTTTTGATTTCTGAATGCTGGAAAGATATACTTTTTATAAACTTCCAGGAGCTTAAAGACTTCCAATCTTGCAGAGATTTGAGTCACAGTATTCAATATGCATTTCATGGCTCAGGTTTTAAGCCACTCTCATTACAGAAACAATTCAAGAAATACTTCAGATCTTTCATGTATCAAAAAAGAAATAAGGTGTGAAAGTGTTTGGGCTGAGTTATCCTTGGAGCATGAGGTTTCAGAGGTTTTGACCATCCTCTGCAGTTTCTCCTGCAGACAGGCAGCTGTGGAGCCTTCAAATTTTTTTTTAGCAGTCATGTTGTTTGTCTGAATGTTTTTGGTTTATCATATTCGTACTACATACTTTTTGCAATTTTTGGGGCATTTTTTTATGAAACTTAACTAGTGATTGCATTCTTTTTAAAATAAACTTAAGTAGCTTAATTGTCCTAGGATTAAATAGTAGATAAGCTTGCTATTAATACTTTCAGATGCAAAATCCAGTTTAAAAAAAGTTAAAATTATACTTGTATTATTTAACGTGCTTTTTTTCCTTTTGGTTCTTAATGTTTTGTCTTTTCCCGATTCTTTCAGTTCAATGCTAGATTAGCAAGAGTTCAGAATAAGACACCAAAGTCATTTTCAGATGCTTCTGTCTTGCCACAAAGTATCTATCGAAGGGTATGTGCTTTAATACCCTGGAGTCTGGAGATAATAAATACAGTTACAGCCTTTTTCCAGCAGTAGTTCCCTGGGGGTTTACTGTGTGTGTTCTGCAACAAAGCTTAGGGGATGGGTGAGTGTGGGTGGGTGGAGCTTCATGCCTCAGGTGTCCGTCTTAGTCTCCCACACATCCCTCCCACCTCTAGACAACTGATTTCTTTGCACTGATGTTGATATAGCTGGGGTTCAACAACAAAAGCCCACGTGAAATGGTTTCAGTAGAGAATTGTGAACCTGGGAACTTAAGATAGAACTGACTGACAGAAATGACTGTGATATATATTATGTGCATGCATGATTGGTTTTGTAGGCTTGCGACTTTGGCATGTCACAAAAGTAAGATTCTAGTGAAGCCATCATTGTAATTTTGGGGATATAAAATATTGAGAAAAATTCTTTTTAGACTATTTCTCATTAGTAATAGCATATTGTATTGTTACATAATTCTATGTAATGTAACAATGAAGCCTTTGCTTGCATTTTCACAGAAGCTGCAGCATCTCCAGGAGGAGAAAAACAAGGAAATTGAAATTCTCCGAAGCACCATAAGAGACTTAGAGCAACGTATTAATAAAGGCCAAGACACACATTTCAAACGAAGGAGATTTTGAGTAAATGACATGAAGTATTTCAGTAGTACATACAATGAGAAATAGAAAGAGTATATTTCAAACTATGCACCTGAAAGTAAAACTAAGATATGATGAAATACAGAGTATTTTTTATTGAAAACGCTCTTGTCAAATATTCCAAAGGCATGCATTCTGTGTATATTCAGGGCTACTTTCTTGCTAATCAGCATTCACGATAAAAAGATTCAGGTTTCATAGGAGTAAAAATTTCCCTACTAAACCATCATTAATTATCGTGTACACTTTCAAAGCAGTTTTCCTTTCTTGAATATTTGCTTCTTCATCCAGGAATCCTTTGAACAACTACATTTTTACTTCAACTCCGTTAATCAAAGGTTAGGAATGCTAAGCTACAGACAGAGAAGTTACACAAGTTTAAGTGGTATATTACCTTACTAATCAATACAGATTTGTCAAATTCAGCACTGTTCTAAACAAAGATAAACAGTAAACCAAGATTAAATTTGTTCTGCCCCTCCCTCCTTTTGATACTGATTCTGCATGAAGAGTTGTTAACACTGCTTCTCATTTTAGGCACAATCTTACTGATTTAGTGAGATTTTACAAGCTGTAGTAGTATGTATTAATGGACCCTGATGCCATATCTAAGTGACAAAAGTTAAGCATATAAATCTGTTGCTTTAAAATAACGCAATTACTGCTTGTATCTTACACTTGAGATAAAAAGTTATTTTGGCACATTGCGTAGGAATAAGCTTTTCTTGTACATAATTTCTATCCCCAGGTTAAGAGAAAAAAAAACAAAAACAAAACAAAACACAACTTTTGAATATAGTCCATCTTCGTAATAAAAAATGATTAAAATATCTGTTTTGGTTATCTTCTATTCTTGATTGCAAAACATCAGACAGGAGCCCCTAGGTCATAGTTTATGCTCCTGTCCTCACAAATGCAAGCAGAACGTTAGAAGAGAAACAAGAAAGACAAATTAATCAAGAATGCCGACACCTTCCCAGTGCAACTGAAGAACAAACTACAGGTCAATTCAATTCCTTTAAATTATGAAGCTTTTCACTGATGGAATTTGACAGGTATTGTGTAATTCTAAGAGCACTGCTCTAAAAGTCTACCTCTTAGCAAGATTTTTACTCTACCCACCTTAGTATAATTTTTAACTGGGGGCAATAAAACCACAATCTGTTAATTTTTCCACTCTCTCAACTATATGAATTTAGGTAGTGGGACTCCTTTGCATTTTTAAGGTGCTTAGTTTGTTTTTCAGGGTCAGTTTCTTGCCTTTTCCTGTCACTGTCAGGTGTCACTAGTTGCACTTGCTCCTGCTGCTGGTGACTGTCAGGCAGCAGTGAGCAGACGTCACTGTCAGGATTCAGTGATCTCCTCTGCTGACAGCTGGCCGTGTCACCTGCAAGAATTTGGAAGTGCTCCACGACACTGTCAAGTGACAGAATTTCCTAGCTCTTCAAACAAAAGGTGTCGACAATGACATCATCAGCTACTAGAAGTTGAGTCTGATGCTGTCTGCCAATTTCAAGTTAACTGGTTTTTACAGCTGGTTTTCCCTTGTTTTCATAGCTTTTTATCTTGTGTAATTTCCACACTTTCCCCTGGAGGAACAGTGTCTACCTGTTCAGGACTACCTGTCTGATCATGTCTGTTTTGACCAAACACTCTATGACGCCGACCGCTGTGAGGACGATGTCTTCTCGTTTCAGAAGAAGCCTGATGGTCCTCATTTTTAGAATGACGACTGCCCTCACGATGGTGGTGGTGGTGTCTATGTCTGTGCGGGTTGTGGTGATGTGAATGTTGACCGGTTGGTTTGGGTTCTATCTCTGCTAGCTTTTCACCTGCATTTTCAGTGATGTTTTCACATAAACCATCAATATCAGGTTCCTGCAAAACAGAAGCATGCATTAAATAGAAGGCATTATATTTAATTAAACTACTTGTAAAATATTAATTATTTTAACATTTTTTGCAGAACCTGAAACCCAATTTTAAATTATTTGTGCCCCTTTGCTGAAGAAAGATAGGAATGTATCAAAAAGAACCTTGTTTTACAATACCACTGATAAACAGACAGAGCTCTTACTGTAAACTTTGAGGAATTCTAATTTAAGTAATTGCTAATAAAAAGTATTCTTTTTCTGGGATCCCACATCTGACCTGCCTGAGGCCTACATTTATCTGGAAAACTATATGATGGGATCAAAAATTATTATTCTTATTGAACTTTCATGACTATGCGTGTACATTTCTTGATAATCCTTAAAGTAGTCCTGATCTTTAGTTACATGTGAAACATGTAGTTACATGTGAAACATATCCTTCTTTTATAACGGTAACAATAATTTTTCACCCTGTATTATCACTTTTTTTAAAGTAACTACTATATACGGTGTTTAAACATAAACTAAAAGGAATAGTAACTCAAACCATCTCAGATTTGATTCCCAGGCCTAAAAAACCCACCTATTTGTTTAAGTACCTACCTGCCCCCAAAAACTAGAGTAGCTAATTTCTTACTAGCTGTACATAACCCCACAAACAACATTAGCCTCCAAGATTGCATTTAGGTTTATGAAAATGATTTGCATTTCTGTCCAGGGCAGGAATTCAGATAATCAGTCTATTATAAAGAAGATCTAATTCACTTTGAAAAATGTTTAAAAGCTCTCTGGCAAGACACATGAAATGTGTAAATTCTAAATCATGGGTTTTTTACAATTAATCACACTGAAATAATTTTTTTTAAGTACTAGTCACATCTGGTTTCCATTCCTAGTATATATAGAATGAAATAAGAAAATACCGTGTAAGAGCAGTTTCCACACTTGTTCTCACAGTATGCAATCTTAATTGATTCTTCTACATACTGGAAAGACAGGAAGGAATAGGGCAGACCCAGATGATAGACTAGACGGCCGCACCTAAGGAGAGAAAGAACATTGTGGTTACATACACATAAACGTATACCTAAAATTAAGTATCTCTTCTTATCATGCCTTATTTTATTCACATCAGTCCACCCACACTGCACAGTCCCGTGCAGACTGCTTCTGTCCAAGGAGTTTACAGGCAAAACCAGTACCTGCCTCACAAACGTTTGCCCGCTCAACTGCATGGGTCAGTAGCGTGACGCATGGTTTCTGTCCGACGTAATGGCTCTATGGCAGAAGCCCCTCGTTCAGTGGCATTTCGATGACCAAAGGCACACTCATTACAGACCTATCTTGCTAGTGAGGAGGGCTGTTTACATAGTGGTACAAATCGCCACATGGTTGTTGCATCCTTACAAAAAACGTTCTCATGCAAACATGTATTTTGGTTAGGAATGTGCATTGCGGGGCTTCTGTGTTACTGCTTTAGTGTGCACAAGGGGATTCTTATGGTGCCCGTTTGCCCATGTCTGTCCTTGAGTGTTCTGGTAGGCACTTGACTACAAAACTGGTACACTCAAAGGAGCAGGACTTGTTGAATCATTTCCATTACATCAAAACTGGAAAATCGGGATCTCAATTAAAGAGTTATTACTGGTTCTGCCAAAAGATACATGTCCCAGAATCCTATGATCAAAAAGCTCTTTTCTTCCAAAGTTTTAAGTTTCACCTAAAGACTAATTTTTACATACGGCTACATGACAGTTTCAGCAACTTCAGTCAAAATGCTTTCTCATTTGATTCTACTTTCACATGCATGGATGTGATAAAGTTGTCTGAAAATAAAAACAATTTAAGACCAGGATCGTGCTATCAAATTCTATACATGGTTATACTAATTGACATCCACAGTAGTTACAAAGAAAAAATGATTTATCCCAAACTTACTTAAGCAAAAGCAGACTCTTCTTTGGCAGCTTCCTTTTTCCAGTAAATGCAAGTGCTTTACTTAGTGCAGCTTAGAAGCTGACTATGACTTCTTTGTTGTGAGATAATCAGGTTATTTGCAAACCAATGAAATGATACAGAAATTTACAAAGCATTACTCTAAATACATGCAAATATTTCCCTGTGTTCCCCTCTAAACACCGACCTGTCATAGATGAGAAAGTCATCTTTGTTTCCATTTAAGGTAGTCCAGACATCATCTTGCTCTTCGTCTTGCTGGTAGACAGCAATATAGTCTGAAACACTTTCCTTCAGTAGGTGAAATTTCCTCTGGGAATTAGTTCCCTGATGGTTGACAACCACATACGAGATGTTGACCAGTCCTTCATTCTCTAACTTCACTCGCAGGTCTTCCAATCTAGTGGAGAACGTAAAGAAGCAAGACTGAAAATCGTTACAGAATTGTAAGATTTGCTGTGTTCGACAAAAGTTAATACGCTCCATCTTGCTTTTATTACAGTGAATGTTATTTTCTCCCAGTTTTCTCGCCATTTGCCATGACTATCAACTGTGCTGTCACCAAACCAGACTCGATAGCAGCTAATATGACATGGGTCCTGCCCTTGTCAGTAGAATGCAGTATTAAGTACAGCAGTTTTCAGACTGAATGCAGTGTTATTTTTATTTCAGTTCCTTCACACTGGTCTCACACAGTTGTCTTTCTTTAAATGCTGAGGTTTTGGTCACATAGTTGGTTAAAGAATCCGCACTGTAAATACAGTGTGAAGATGAATAATCAAGAAAGCAAACACGTAGTAAAAGGCTGACAGCTCTCCCACTCATCTTGATGTAGCTATTTTCTATAATAGCCAGAAAAGGGATATTACAGCAATTGGGTCAACAGGATGGTTATAGAACATGTGCATGACCTGGCTGGCAGTTGAGAGTCTTTCCCTTTGGCATCCCACCACAAATGTCTTTATTTGCTCTATAGTGCAGAAAGCTGCTTTCTTCCTGTACAATGTGGGTGGGTTTTTTTTTTTCCTTTTTATTTGTCTCCTTCCTATTGAATTGCTCTAGAAAACTCTCTTAATTTTTCAGTTTCAGGAAATAGTATAGAGCTTGAAAGACTCTTTAAAACCTTTCTAAAACATACAGGATGAAACCCAA